CAGAGATGGGCAGCAGGTGGAGAGGACTCGCAGAAAGGCAGTGGCTGGAGGACTAAGGTGGGCAAGGTGGTGGTTGGCAGACGAGATGAGATATCAGCTTGCAGACTGGGCAGTCCCACATTCGGGTGCAGATAAACCAGGAGGAACAACTGGGGAGCAAAACAGACCACGCAACTCAGGGTTCCAGTGAGGGAAAATAAAGCCTCAAAGCCTCTGACTAAAAAAACCTATGGGGGTTGAGGTGGCAGTAAAACTCCCAGCCTCACAGGATAGTTCACTGGAGGGACCCACAGGGTCCTAGAACGTACACAAACCTGGGAATCAGCACGGGAAGGGCCCAGTTTGCTTGTGAGTAGCGTGGAAAGTGACTGAAAACCAGCAGAGAGCTGAGCAAGCAGCATCGTTTCCCTCTAGGACCACATACAGTGTCACAATGCAGCCACATGAGTTTCCCTGCCCTGGTAAACACCCAGGGCTCTGCCTCTGACTGCATAACAGGTGCGCTGAGAACAAAAAAAAAAAAAAATGGCTCAAATGAAAGAACAAATCACAGCTCCAGAAAAAATATAGCTGAGCAATGAAGAGTTAGCCAACCTCTCAGATGCACAGTTCAAAACACGGATAATTGAGATGCTCACAGAATTGGTTGAATATGGTTGCAAAGTAGAGGAAAAAGTGAAAGTTATACAAAGTGAAATAAAGGAAACTGTACAAGAAACCAACAGTGAAGGGAAGGAAACCAGAATGTAAGTCAACAATTTGGAACAGAACGAAGATATAAAAATTCAACCAGAACAGAATGAAGAAACAAGAATTCAAAAAAATGAGGAGAGGCTTAGGAATCTCTGGGACAACTTTAAACATTTCAACATCTGAATCACAGGGGTGCCAGAATGAGAACAGGAAGAGCAAGAAATTGAAAACTTATTTGAACAAATAATGAAGGAGAACTTCCCCAATCTAGCAAAGGAAATAGACTTCCAGGAAGTCCAGAAAGCTCAGAGAGTCCCAAAGAAGTTGGATCCAAGGAGGAACACACCAAGGTGCATCATAATTACATTACCAAGATTAAAAATAAGGAGAGAATCTTAAAAGCAGAAAAAGAAAAAGAGACAGTTACCTACTAAGGAGTTCCCATAAGACTATCAGCTGATTTCTCAAAAGAAACCTTGCAGGCAAGAAGAGCCTGGAAAGCATTTCAAAGTCATGAAAGGCAAGAATCTATATCTAAACTTACTCTGTTCAGCAAAGCTATCATTTAGAATAGAAGGGCAGATAAAGTGCTTCCCAGATAAGGTCAAGTTAGAGGAATTCATCATCACCTAGCCCTTATTATATGAAATGATGAAGGGACTTATCTACAAAAAAGAAGATAAAAAATATGAACAGTAAAATGACAACAAACTCACAGCTATTAATGACCAAACCTAAAAACAAAAACAAACTGAGCGAATAACTAAAATAGGAACAGAATCACAGAAATGGAGATCACATGAAGAGTTCCCAGTAGGGAAGTGGAAGGGGGTAGGGGGGAAGTAACAGAGAAGAAGTAGAATAAATGGTAGGTAGAAAATAGATAGGGGAAGCTTAAGAATAGTATAGGAAATGTAGAAGCCAAAGAACTTATATGTACAACCCATGGACAGGAAATAAAGGAGGGGAATGCGGGTGGGAGGGGGTGTGCAGTGGGGGAATAGAGTGGGATAATTGGGAAAACTGTAATAGTATAATCAATGAAATATATTCAAAAAAAGAAAATATAAAGAAATGGGACTAAACTGAAACTTTTTATAGCAAAGGAAACCAACAACAAAATGAAAAGACAACCCACGTGAATAAGAGAACATTTTTGCCAATGACGCATCTGATAAGGAATTAATATGCAAATTTTATAAAGAATTAATACAACTCAACAACAAAAAAGTAAATGATCCAATCAAAAAATGGGCGAAGGGCCTGAGTAGACGTTTCTCCAAAGAGGACATACAAATGTCTAATAAACATGAAAAGATGCTCAAAGTCACCAGACCAATGCAAATTAAAACTACAGTGAGATATCATCTCATATTTGTCAGAATGGCCATCATCAATAAATCAGCAAACAACAAGTGCTGGTAAGGATGTGGAGAAAGGGGAAACTCTATGCAATCTTGGTGGTGAGAATGCAGACTGGTGCTGCCACTATGGAAAGCAATATGGAGTTACCTCAAAAAATTAAAAATGGAACTGTCTATGACCATTGCAGCACTGTTTACAATAGCCAAGATTTGGAAGCAGCCCAAGTGCCCATCAGTACATGAATAGATTAAAAAGCTGTGGTACGTTTATGCAATGGAATACTACTCGGCCATAAAAAAGAAAGAACCGTTACTTTTTGCAACAGCATGGATGGACCTAGTGGGTATTATGTTAATGAAATACCAGAGAAAGACAATTACCATAGGATTTTACTTACACGTGGAATCTAATGAATAAAATAGAAACAGATTTATAAATACAGAGAACAGTATGACAGCTGTCAAAGGGGAGTGGGATTAGGGAGTTGGATGAAATAGATGAAGGGATTAAGCAACAAAATAATAAAAAGACCTCACAGACACAAACAACAGTACCGTGATTACCAGAAAAACAGGTGGGTAGGGAGAAAGAGGTAGAAGAGGGTAAAGGGGTGATAAATGGTGACAGAGGACTTGACTTGGGGTGGTAAACACATGATTCAAAGGATGTACTATGGAACTGCACACTTAATAACCTATATAATTTTAGTAAACAATATAACCCCAATAAATTCAATAAAAATATCTTTCAAAGTTAGAATTATGCTAAACCTGTAAAATAAGTAAATAGATAAAATTCCAAGTGGCAAATTTAACAGGATCAGAAAATAATCCTTCTCCTTTTCCTGTGTACTTGTCAACAAGCAAATTTTACAGCATTGAAGAGAGTCATGAGCAGCCAGTATTCAAAAGTGGCCTGATGCATGTGCAGCATCCTGTGTAACAGTGTAACCAGTATTAAATAGCAAGTATCAGGAAACTGCAGAGACAAGTAGATCTGTGTGATGTTTCAATACAAACAGCCAGTGTCGAGAGTAAGGGCAGCATTGCTACCTTTTCTTCATGGCGAGGAATATAAAATTAGGCAGAAATGGTGCGTTTGGCAACACAGACCACAAAGCGGTGGTTCCTGGACCTGAGCAGGATGAGCTGGTGCCAGGACACTACAGAGTCTTCCACAGGCACTGATTGGACAATAAACAAACCCTAAGTATACCTTCTCTACCCATTTTTCCACATTGCTATGGATAAATCACTATATTACAGGTGAGCCCATAGCTCTGTAATTCTTTGTTTTAATCAAGTTGTTTATGTACACAGCCCATGAAAATTATTTCCCTACGGCCCTGCACACACAGGGGTGTCCAGCCCATGGCCCATAGGCTGCATGTGGCCATGCTGGCTATGAATACAGCCCAACACAAAATCATAAATTTGCTTAAAACATTTTTGCTTTCTTTTTTGTTTTTTTTGTTTTAGTTTTTATTTTTCATTCACAGTTGACATTTAATATTGTTTTAGTTTTAAGTATACAGCATAGTGGTCAGATATTTATATAACTTATGAAATTATCCCCCTGATAAGTCTAGTACGCACTTGGCACCATACGAAGTTATTACAGCATCATTGATTGTATTCCCTATGCTGTATTTTACATTCCCATGACTATTTTTTAACTGCCAGTTTGTACTTCATTCCTTCACAGTTTTCACCAATGTTTTTGTTTTTATTAGTGTATGTGTATTTCATGTGTGGCCTACGACAACTCTTTGTCTTCCAGTGTGGCCCAGAGTCACCAAAATGTGTTGGACACCCCTGGCTCAGAGGTTCTCTGGGCAGAAGTCCATATTTCTTTTATTTTTAAAAATTTAATTGTTGTTCAAGTACAGTTTTCTGTCTCTTACTCCGATCCCAGCCCACCCCCCAGTGCTCCCCACCTCCCTCCCACTTCTACCCCCCTTAGTTGTTGTCCATGTGTCCTTTATACTAGTTCCAAGAGTGCATAATTCTGAAGCAGAGCAGGGGCCATTGTGGGAACAGTGGGACAGAAACATGCTTGGGGAAGTGCACACGAACTTGAGGACAGAACCTGGTTATAGAGGTTTATGTTCCCTTCAAATAATCTTCATTAACCCTCCACCAGCAGGAGTCTTCTCAAATATAATAAAAATTATAAAAAAGAAAAATGAACAGACTAAATGTTGGAGAACTTTAAGCTAATGTCAAGAGGAAATCTAACAATATAGTTAAAAATAGTAACTACTAAAGCCAATTTTTCTGGGTTCAAACCCCACCACTATCATTTATAGTCATGTGACCTTGAAACTCTCTGAGCCTCAGTACTCCACCCTATAAGTGGGGGAATAATAGTACCTCAGTGAGTACTAAATCAGTGTAAGTTGTTATTATTTGCTTCTAAAGGAAAGTGGCCAATCTTATGTGGAAAAAATCCTATAACTGCTTCTAGAAAATCCAGCTAATTTCTTTTACCTTTACCTTTCTTTTTGGCATATATCAATTGTTTTTTAAATAATTTTAAAGATATGATTCCTCCTATTTAAAATCACACTATATTCCAGTAAGTATAGACAAAAACAAATAAGTTCATGCTTATAAACACTGTGATGAAATTGTAGAGTTGCAGAAATAAAGAAAACATCATAAAATTAAATCAATAAAAAAGGCAGCTTGACTACAAAGCAACAGCATTTGGGTTGATAATAGACTTTTCCAGAACACAACGGATCATATCTTCAATGTTACAGTGGATAGCAATTACCATCTTAGCATTTTATACCTAAATATTCTATCATTCAAGAATGGAGTGAAATCTTTTTACTTTTGAACTCTAATGGCACACAATGCAAGTAAAAGCATAAAATTTCCCCAAGTTCATGCAACTTCAAGACAGGTCCTCTGGTGCCTTATCCCTCGATCAGATGGTTACCCCCAAAGCCTTTCTACATGGAGATTAGCAAACACTTTTGACTGAAGACTGTCTTGAGAATGCCTAAATCCACACTCTAAAATAAGAAAAATTAAAAAGTTTACGGGGTATTAAACCTACGTATTCTGCCACCATCCTGAAGCAGCTAGTAAATAAAATTATGTGATCAGTTACATATATGGCCTCATTCCAAATATTGATGGTTCAAGCCATTATTATACTCTCCGTGGACTAATAGAAAGTCCTATTTTTTGCTGCAGTACCTTCCCCAAACTTTTCAAATTTATTGTAATTTATATGTGAAACAAAAATATACCTAGATCTGCCCATTGGTGGGTCCTGGGTAAGGTCATATTCCTCCCCAGAGGGCCCAGGGTGCTTACATACACATGGAACCTCCCCTGCATCCACCCCCAGCTCTCACCCACCCTGTGACCTGCCACCTCCTGCTCATCTCACGGATGCTCATCAGCTCCTCCACTCTGCAGACCAGACTACCATTTCCTGGCTTCTTCAAGGCCACCCTCAAACTACCATCTCCGCCACTGCAGGTCTCCCTCTGACCTCAGTGGCTTCTTTCTCTGCGAGAATGTGGCTGCTTCCCTTCTGAGATCCAGTTCCCTCACAGAGCTATGTGGGCCCCTTATAGTACAGCTGGGAACCACATAATTCCTAAAGGGCTTTTTCAAAAGTCATTTTGTTTCTGATGTGCATTAACCACAAAAGAACTAATTCTAAAGGAAAAAAGAGACAATTATGTGACAAATGGCTCAGAACCTTGAAATAGATGCAGATTATAAATATAGGCTTTAGGCATTATAAAATGAGACAGCTCTAAATTTTCAAAGAATGAAGAAAAAGAAATAGGATTTTTTTTAAATATCAAAAGGACTTTCAGTTTACATTTAGTAAATCGACTAACCTTTTTAAAGGTAAAAGTGAACTTCTGAAGCCTAAGTCATTTGTGGGATTCTAGAACACTGTAAGTCTACAAGACTATCACTGCCAACCTCCTCGCTTTACAGGTGAGGAAACAGAGTGAACACGACTTTCCCAAGGTCACAGAACAGTTTCATCACTGTCAGGATTTGAATCAGAGCTCCTCCCTTCTTCAGGTCCTTCTCACTCATTCTACAATAGGAGTTGCTTTCTCAAATGGGCAACAATCCCCAGAATTATGTAGATGAATATGTGATGGTGGCTGTTGTGGAGGTGGTGATGATGTTATGTGTACGTTCTGGAAAGTTAAGCAGTAGGGAACGATTAATGGGCAATTCAAGGGCAACTCAAGGGCACGTCAGGCAAAGCTGAGATTCTCTTAAGATTGGGCATATGTAAGAAATGTTTTGAATGGGGAATGAGACGCAACAGGTATGAACAAATCAATCATATGTATCTATAAACCAGAGAAATATTAGCAATGGAGGAAGCAACAGGGTCATAGGATTTTTCAGAATGTGGAATGGCCATGCATGTTGGATATTCCCAGGATGGGGAAAACCTAAAAGTGAGCTTCTCGAGAGCACAATTTCTGGAAACACATCGATACTTAGTGATTGCCGTTCCCTGCAAGGCTCTCAGCTAGGCCTGGGCACCACAAAGGTAAGAAGGAAAGCAAGACAAGTTCCTGTTATATACCCTATCTTTAAAAGTGTTGGTGGGTTTTTTTGTTTGTTTGTTTTTTTAATCATAAGGGGGTTGCCTGGCTAAATAAGACCGTTTGACAGTTCCTGCCCACCTGTCCTGGAGTAGAGGTGCAGGCTGGGAGAACCGTAGTTATCTCTTGCACAGAAGCCCACCCCATTAAAAACCCATCCACTTTGTGGCCCACAGCGCCACCCTGTGGTAGGCACCTGTTGATTAATGGTGCACAAAATACAACTGAAGCAGTAGGCTACTGTCCAACCAGAGGCCAACTGGCCACATGCAGCCCAGGATGTCTGTGAATATGGCCCAACACAAAATCGTAAATTTACTTAAAACCTTTTTTTTCTCATCAATTTCCATAAGTGTTTGTGTATTTAATGTGTGGCCCAAAACAACTCTTCTTCTTCCAGTGTGGCCCAGAAACGCCAAAAAGTTGGACACACTTAAATCAACATGTCACTTCCGGTTCAGGAACTCAAAGGACTTTATCTGGATATTGTACCGAACCAATGCAAAAAAAAGGCTGTCGAATCTTATGGTGCAGTAGACCCTTCATGATTAGCTATCAGGCCCAAGTTCTCACCCATCTCCTCTGTACAGTCTCCGACTACGGTCATAATCATGAAATCAATGAGCAGTGGGCAGCTCCCCCCTCCTTCAGACCACCCATTTGATCTGTTCTGCTGATGGTCTCTGTTGAGTATGAAACACAGCTTCAACTTCCATGAGAGCCTAACAAGGAACAACTAGTGGTTGTTGCAGAATGGTTCAGATCATTATTTATTCTGGGATTAGTTCCTTCCATTCACCACCCTCTACCTCTTGGAAACATTTTTTCTGTCTGGCTCCTTGCTTAGGTTAACTCTTCTCTCTTGTCTTGTCATTAGGTGGAATAAAGTATGAAGATACTCCTGGCACAGTGAGTAGGAATTCTCCCGGTTCAGCTTGTCAGGTGGGGAATGTCTGCTCAGTGCTGACATGAGTGATACAAAGGTCAGCAACACATCTTCTCCCCCCATCAGAACTTAGAAATGTTAGTGCCTGGCAGCTCCATTTTCTAAACATTGTGCCTGTTTCATTACTTCCAGCAGAGAGACAGGCTTGTAAGAGCCACACATGAAAAGAGACATAGTGCAGGCCAGGCAAGGGCTGGGTGATTCCTTTTCTCCACAGTCTAGCAAGGACTTGATGGATTTTTGTAGCTCTGTGCAGACACAGGGAAGGGACAAAAGTGCAGAATCACACTTGATATTCTGTTGACTTTAGTGGTTGCTTTACTTAGATTCTTTACAAACTTAGAGTTTGAGTGTAGTATATAAATCAACTAATTATAATATGCATTTGACTTCAGATTTTACTGAGCTGAAAATGGTCTTAATCTTTATCTTAGTCACATACCACTACCAGGTTCCAACCATGAGACCAAAGCACCTTCTCTTCCCTAAATTGTGGGTTCAGATTTTTAGGTGGTAAAAAAACTTTTTTAGATTATAACCGTAAACCTATTTCAAACTTGTAGTCAATGTCATAAGTTCAGTTCACTATTGAAGTTAACTCAGAAAATACAACAAATTAAATCTTTCCTTTTTATCTTGAATCATGCAATCACAGAATGTAAGAGCCATCATGGTTCATAGATACAAACCAGTTCAGTGTTTCCCAAGTGCCAGGCTGTGGATCAGAGCTGGTACACACCATGTTTTCATTTGTCCAAGGTGAAAAGAGAAGAACGAGGGGTGTGTGTCATTGTGAGGGGACAAGTGTCTATTCTTGGGGAGTCCTGTCATTTATTCCAAGATGACCTCAACCTTACTTTTCTGGTATTAAAATTCCTGTTATACAACACTTTATGATAATATAATAGAGTTAGTAGGTGATGATGGTTGCATACTTCCTTTTATGTTCTTACTTGGCAAAGGAAAAGTCAGTAGCCTTGGGTCACCTGTGAAACTTTTTGTTAACAAGACCTACAGCACACTGCCACCCCTGCACTACCAGGAATTTATAATACCAGATTACAAACAACAAGCCAAAAGAGAATCTAGAATGGAAAGAATTGTGAGGAATGGGGCATTCTACTTAGAAGTATTCAAAGAAACCCCCACCAATAAAAATTGAAGAGAGAGTTTTGTCAAGACCCAACTTCAAATAAGAGTTCTAATTAGGATGCCATTGTAGATGCATGCCAGAGTCATTCACCTTCATCCATACATGGGGATTGAGATGCCTTCATAAGAATATGGTATGAGTCCAACTTTGAAAAAGAAGCCAATATAAAGATTCTGAAAGATAAAAATAATCAGGACATTTTTGTCTTGCAAGATAAGAACATTTCCATGATTAAAAACACTGTAATACCAGTGCCTGAATAGTCAGATTAATACATACAAAGTCCAAAAGAGACTCAAACACATATAACAATTTATATTATGTAAAGGGGATAGTTTTAAAAGTGAAGAAAGAATGAATTGTCTAGTAATAATGTTGAGACAACAAGCTAATGGAAAATAATAAAATAGATCCCTAAAGTCACAACTCACATCTTTCCCAAAAGTCTAGATATATTAAGTATTCGAATTTTAAAACATTTAATAAAAGTAAAAGAAAATGAAGATGAACATCTATTAATCTTAGAATGAAGAAAACCTTTCTAATTTTGACAACAAAGAAAGAAATTACAAAATAAAACATTGATTAGTTAGGTATATAAAAACTCAAAACCTCCCTATAGAAAGGAATCCATAAGCAAAATTAAAAGATAAGTGACCACTAAGGAGGAAAAATAGAGTTTATAACAATGGATTAGGAACAAGACAAGGATGCCCACTTTCACCACTCTTATCCAACATAGCAATGGAAGTCCTAGCCACAGCAATCAGACAAGGGAAAGAAATAGAAGGCATCCAAATTGGAAAGGAGGAAACAAAACTGTCACTGTTTGTAGAAGACATGATAGTGTACATAGAAAATCCTACAGACTCCAACAAAAAACTACTCAACCTAATGAATAAATTTGGCAAAACAGTCAATACTCAGAAATCAAAGACATGTTTGTACACTGACAATAAAACATCAGAAACAGAAACCAGAAAAAAAATCCCATGTGATATAGCAACAAGAAAAATAAAGCACCTAGGAATAAATGTAAACAAGGAGGTAAAAGACCTGTACTCAGAAAACTACACAACACTGAAGAAAGAAATTAAGGAAGACACAAACTAATGGAAATATGTACTGTGTTCATGGATTGGAAGAATTAACATTATCAAAATGTCCATACTGCCCAAAGCAATATACAGATTCAACTCAATTCCTTTAAAATACCAATGACAAATTTTGCAGAAATAGAACAAACATTTTAAAAATTTATATGGAACCATAAATGACCCCAAATAGCCACAGCAATTTTGAGAAAGAAGAACAAAGTAG